CAAACTGGCTCAACACATGGCAAAGGTACTGTCACCATTGAGAGGGACACTTCCACACATGTGAAGGATTCATACCATTTCATCAGTGGAATCAAAGATCTACGGTTAACTGATGACGACACCATGGTCAGTTTTGATGTTCAGTCGCTGTTTACCAACCTACCAGTAAAAGACTGCATTGAAATTGTACGTAGGAAGCTAAGGGAACATAATATGTCCATTGAATATGCAGAATTATTAGAACACTGCCTAACATCAGGCTATCTATTGTGGAATAATGAATTCTACCTACAAATTGACGGTATAGCGATGGGCTCCCCGGTATCTCCCGTTGTTGCCGATATTTTCATGGAAGACTTCGAGGAGCGAGTTTTACCCATGGCCCCAGCTAGGCCGAAGATTTTCAAACGGTACGTTGATGATACTTTCACAATATTACCTAAAGATAGCATACCTTCTTTCTTGGACCATCTTAATTCTTTTAGTATTAAGATCCAATTTACTATGGAACAAGAGAATTGTGGTACTTTAGCTTTCTTAGATGTTTTAATTAAAAGAAATCCTAATAACACCTTAGGCCATACTGTATTTCGAAAGAAAACCCATACAGATAGGTACCTCCATGGTAATTCCCATCACCATCCTAGCCAGTTAGCTACCGTGGGCAAATCTTTGTTTCAGAGAGCATATGGTGTCTGCGACAGTAATCATCTGGCGGGGGAACTTCAGCATATAAAGCAAGTCCTACATGCGAATAAGTTAAGGATTCCACGCCAATACCGCAGACCCCGTGTGAAACCACCAACAGTCGAGCGAAGACCTGCCATCTTACCTTACGTGAGAGGTGTTACAGACAAGATCGGAAGAGTCCTCAGGCGTGCATCTATCAAGACCTATTTCAAGCCCCTGAGGAAGATTTCTCAGTTCCTGAGACCCGTGAAATGTAACATCCCCTTACAGGATGCAGGAGTTTACAAGCTTGACTGTGAGTGCGGTCTCTCTTATATTGGACAAACAAAGCGAAGTATTTGTACCCGCGTCAAAGAACATATAGCTGATGTCAAACACCGTCGCGTAAACAAGTCTGCAGTCTGCGAGCATGTCATGGATAAACCTACACATTCAATGAAGTTTGACAAATCCCAGGTCCTTGCAAAAGAAGTCCGTTATCTGCCCAGGATGCTGCGAGAGGCCATTGAAATTAAAAAACATCCTAATTTCAACAGGGAAGATGGTTTCTCCGTACCACCACCAGTTTGGGATCCAGTATTTCCTCTAATGAAAAATCCCAAACAGACATAAGACTGCAGTACTAATTAATATGTTTTAGTTTATTCTACTTTCTATTAATAATTAATAATAAATTAAACTTAATAAAAATTCATTCAATAAAATAATTTGTAAAACTTAATGTAGCGTAAATTGGAATGTTTTCTTTGTAAAATTAAAAATAATGTATTTAATTAATAACTATTGTAACTATAGTGAAAAAATAGGGTGGTTTGCATTAATATTAGACATAACTGGTTGAAGACTGTACCACCTCAGTCAACCGTGACCATGGGACCTGTAAAGGGCCCGAAACGTCGGTTTGTTTGAAAAAACAAATTATACGCGATTTAAATCCGGACAAATACTTTCATTTCCTATGTGTAACAATCGCGAAAACCTAAGAACTCGATAAGACAAGTGGACGTCAGGGAACGCTCTTGCTGACACACAGAGCGACACACAGAGCTCCCCACACAGTAGCCACAAGTCAGACCGTGAGCCGATGTGTATGGCAGGTGTTGGATGCGGCGTGGCGGGTGTGGACACAGCAGTTTTCGGCGCGCAAAGCACGCGGTACTCATACGCAAGGCTGCGAGTTGGACTCCGACATGTCACATCCTTTACTAGATTTTATAATAAACCACAAGGTACGCCTTCGTTTATTTGATAAAATTTTATAACGATCAATGCATATTACAATTAATAAACTTCAATCAAAATCAAATCAGATAGATCAAAAGATGTTTTGAGATACAAATTAGAAATTAAGAAAAATTATTAAAAAAAACATCTTTTAATTTTTATTGAATTGATATTCAATTATTTTTATCTGAAATTACGCCACTAGTTTGTTATAATTATTATATCAAACTGTATTAATAATTAAAAAGAAAATGTATTAGTAATTAATTATCTTGTCACGACGAGAAAACTCTGATGATATTTTGGAGGTTACAGGCCTATGATTCAAAGGTCTAGTTTTCTGTTGAAGACGCGGAAGTTTACGGACTGAAGCCGCCGCAGCTCGTTGTTGTTGTTGTTGCTGCCATAATTTGTCATTCACTCTCCGCCCCAAATCAGGATCAATTTGAGACAAAAGTTTCACCGCCCTGTCTATAAGTTCAGGGTAGACGTTTTGGAACGATTCAACCACATTACTGGCAAGTCTGTCTCTATGCGCATCTTCTTTCACGTATTCATTGTAGAAATCTGCAGCAGGTTGCAAATCTATGGCATTGCTTTCCAACAGTAACAGTTTCGTTTTTGGACGGGTCTCGTCCACAAAAGGTACAGGACCGTTAAAGGAATTAGAAAAATAATTCGGAGTGTCACGCATATTGTCATCCAAGGGAGGACGTCCATCACGATTGTAAGTCTTTGCGTAAATTGGTTGATTCACATAAATCTTATCATGATTACGTCCAAGTCGATAATTTTGAGTGTCTCTATAAGCGACCCTTCTTGATTTGAACATGAAATCTATTGGACCAGGTATACCAGGAACTAAATTGCCAGGACAAAAAGCTGACTGCTCTATATCTCGGAAGTTATTATCAGTGTTCTGATTAAGAACTAAACGTCCAATTGTTACAGTTTTGTAGTCACCTCTTTTCCATAACACTGTAACGTCGAACGGGTCATAATCGAGATATTTTGAATTTTCGGGCATCATAATGTCCATATCGAGCCTCCACACAGGGAAGTTATTCTCTTCTACAGAATTATACAGATCCCTTGTATAGTAATCTATGTCTCCCAGTGCCTGTGCTTGTGCATTAGTCAAATTTGCTAAGCCTTGTTCAGTTCTAAAGTTAAATTTAGCATAGTATTTATCTCCATTTTCATTGTTGATCACATAAGTGTGCACAGGGAAATTGTCCATTTTACGATACCCATCAGGTAATCCATAATCCGAGAACAGCCACAACATTCCATGTATTGTAGAAGGTTTTTGCGTTATAAAGTCCCATCGTGAATTTTGGTCAAACAAATGGCTGCTCGGGTTACGTCTAAAGCAACGCACAAATGAAGTAAAATCAATAGGGTCTTTATAAAAATAGACTGGAAAATTAATGCCAATTAAATCCAAATTTCCATCTTTCGTATAAAACTTGACAGCAAAAGCTTTCATTTCCCTTAATGTATCGGGTCCTCCAAGGTTTTGGGCTACTGTAGAGAATCGAACGACAATAGATGTTCTTTTGCCGATACCGTTGAAAACATCCGCCTTGGTGTACTTTGATACGTCGTTAGTGACTTCAAAATAACCTAAAACGCCAGTACCTTTAGCATGAACCACTCTTTCTGGTATTCTTTCGGCATCTAGTGTTAGTGTGCTATCCACAAAAAACTCGTTGTCAAAAAAATCTGAATTCAAAGCTGTCCAGTCCCTTATGTCTACCGGAATTCCCGCACTTGTAGTAAGTAAATTAGGTTTCTGAAACAAATAATAATGATTTACAATATTGCACAAGTTCAACGTTTTCTCAATGTATACTGTTGTGAGTTTTAATTTTCAAGTATTATACTTTATACATGTAGGATAGGTAGGTACAGGATAGAATTCAGTGTGCTTAGTGAGCGCAATAGCTAATCATACTAGACATAGTCAATTAATATATAACTCTGATTACGTACTTAATTTTGGTGTTCCATAGGATAGTGTCTTGGACCCTTTATTATTTATTTTATTCAGTATCAGTGTTTCTTTTACTTAGAAAAAGTAATTGATGAGACCATCCATCAGATGGCAAAAGACGGTTCTATATGGATACCTCACTCACTTTCAAACATTCTCCATGATTTGTTATCCTTGATGTGTTATTAAAAGATAATTTCCTCCTGGGATGCTAAATGAAAAGAGTCTAGTAAAATGAAAAGAAAGCATTAAGCTAGCATTCGAAATTACATCCTTAATAAATCTTGCTTCCTTAAATATATTAAATTATTGCACCTCATCATATTATTAATATGTTGACTAAAGCTAGGATACTCGTGCATCGCTACTAATTTAGCAAAATTGAGATAAGTAATCCTGTTTCTTTAAAAATGATATCCTTTTCCCTTTCATTCCCAAACTCACCAATTTAAAATCAAAATTATTAATAAAAAATATAAAATTTGTATTAATAATTATAATGAATTAATGACAAATTTAATTAATTTTTTTACTTAGGAATATTAATAGTTGCACACTCCATAAATTACACACTTTCTGAGTTTTTTGTAAGTAATGCGAACATTTTCCGAGCATGTAATAGGAAAATATATTAGATTATATAAATATATGTCGAAATATAACCGTAATCGAGGCATTTGATGGAAACACCCTTGTCAGTGATTTTGCCACGGTCTATTCATTCTTTGTTATCAATTCGTTCAGTCGACAATGAAGTGATCACCTCAGTTTATTGCAATTATTTCATTTATCCACTTTTTACTGTAATTAAATTGAAAGTACGAAATATGGATCAGGTTAAAACGGATTTTAATTGAAAACGCGGCAAGTTCGATTCGATACATCCGTTACCCGCCCGTTCTAAACTGCCTGACGTTCTAAATCGTCCCCCATTCCACCAACAAGCCGTGTGCTTGCGCTGCTCTTTTCAAGACACCTACATTTTCAATTAGTACAATCTAAAACTACTAGATGGCGTTGTAATTAAATTAAGTTCTGAGAAATCGCATAGACTAATGGCGCCGCGGCGAGAACACTCCGACATACTATTATAATAAATTTTTATAAGTTCCGTTAGAATACGTTAACAGCTCTACGATATGAAAATTCAAAATTTAATAAGACATTTTATATTCGCTCACGTTGGGCTCCCACGCTACTGATTGAATAGCAGATTCTGCATAGGCGTTCAAATACTAAGCTGAAAGCTAGATTCTGGCGAAATCTTAAAAAGACACCGCCAATAAGCCACGGAAATAGAAAGTAAATTGCAACAGAAATGTAAAAAGCTAAGAACAACAAGGAAACCTGGTAAACTGGTGATAGCATATTGTCTTTAAACTATTTTCAGAAATTGTTACGACGTGTGTAATATTGTAATAAATCTTAAATTATGTTTTACATAACTAAACCACTGTATGTCCAACAAAGAATATAAATTAAATTTGAGAAGTAATAATTTAGGAAGGTATCAAACTAGAGATAGTTTTTTATAGCCTACATGAGAATGTAGGCTATAAAAAACGCTTCCAGGAGTTGCTACCGCGGAAACCTGATTACTTAGGCTCATTGCGCGGAACACAATTTTCAAAATCAGAGTTCAACCTTCTTTAAAATGGTAATACCAAGAGACGTAAAATTGTACAACCGTCACGGTTGACTGTGACCATGGGACCTGTAAAGGGCCCAAAACGTCGGTTTGTTTGAAAAAACAAATATACGCGATTTAAATCCGGAAAAATAGTTTCATTTCCTATGTGTAACAATCGCGGAAACCTGAGAACTCGATGTGTACAAAAATATGAGAACACTTAAAAGAGTGCGTACTTACTGGGTGTTCCTGGCTAAAATTGAGTAGTTGCATGGCAGCTGCCTCGATGACTACATTGTCATACTCATTCCCTGCAACTACAGCCAGCAGACACACAGCTACACACACCACACCCTTCATGATGTCGAAACACAAATGCCCAGAAACAACAGTTTCAGTTCTTTAAATAAATCAGTTCAAACAAATGAGATGATGAAAAGAACAAGTAGTAAATTCAACAGTTTATATACATTTACAGTATTATTTATTAAGGCGGAAACTTGCATCGCTACCCACCCTAATGTAAACTTCCGGTCCGTTCACTGTTTAGACCAATTTAAAATAATAACTAATATGGTTTCTATTTGTACAGCGGACATTCGTTTACATATCTGCAAGGTTTTGCAATCGATAGTGTGCCAATAAGATAAGAAAAGACCAATGGACACTTGAGCCCCCCCTATGTACGTAGTTGAAAGCGTGTGTTACGCGGCTAAAATACGCCAACCTTGCTCAGTGCTTTGTGCTTTTTGTGGTGAAATTCTGGGTCCCTTGGCCATAGACTTCTAGCGAATTAGCTGTCAGATTGCCTCATAGAAGCCTCCAGTGACCACAAGGCTGGCAAGCTGGCAAGTGCCTTCTAAAATCTTTTAGTAACAGCAGAGTTCCTTCTGAAGGAGCTCATCCAGGGAAGTACTGCCACCTTAATGTGAAGAATAGTAATGTGAGCTGACTGTGTTCCGATTCGGAAGGGTAAGGATACTGGTGAATTACAGGTACATGTGACTTGTCCACTTATGTCCCAGGGTGAGACGGACACAGTGACAGTGCCCCTAAGATCTTTGCGATTTAAAACTCTCAGTGGCACTGCAACTGTTATGGATAGGCGTGTCGCTTACCACCAGGTGCACGACTTGTTCGTCCTGTCACTTGGTATTATAAAGGAAACCTACTATGAAATAGATCAAGACATTATGAATAAAAATCTGAACTACTCAGGAGTTGTAATATTTTTTTCAACGTAAATTAAATTAAAAGCTAAATATGTATTGAATTGAGCTAATGGATATAATTATATATATTTATCTTAATATATATATTAGTCGAAACTTGCATGATGAGAATGAGACCATCAACCCAGTAAATCCGTTGTTGCGTAGGCATGCGCCGTTAATAAAGTAACGAACAACCCTACACTCCGCGCGAAATGTAGACTTCGCTAGGAGCGTACTGTTGTTGCATTATTATTTTCGTTGTTCCTACAGGTTGTCATAAAATAATAGTAATAACAATGATTTGTAAACATAATTTGAATTATTTAAGGTGCCCGGAGGGGTTAGGACTCACCTCGTGAAGGCAGCTGCACAGCCAGCTATTGAGTATAACTAATATCCAAGGTTTTCTTATATGGGTAATTCTTATTCTCAGGCAAATAACTAATACTAATGAGAAGTGCATGTTTTTGCAATTTAATGAAAAGCGAAAATTAATTACGTGATAAACAATGACTCAATATATATTTTGCCATATTACAAGTATATAAATGTAATACATAACATATTTTTGTTTGGCCGGAACTATATGAAATGTTACGACCATGTCGGTTGACTTTGCCGAAATTGCAACGTTAAACCTAAACTAATAAAATATTATAAACATACCTCAGATTTTTACCTGTTATCTGTGAATTGTTATGGAGCCCCGATAAATTAATATCAATATTTCTGTAGAAACAAAAAAAAATAACGCTTTACTTTTTCAGAAAACTTTGTGACTTGTTTTTTTATCACGTCAATGGTCAAATATAACAATCTACCTAAATCGTAATTTTTAGAACTAAACATCGGGCAACATCAATAATTATATACTTCTAGTGGCAACTCCTCAAATGATTGGTTTTCGCGATGGCGTTCATTGTAGTGGTGTCGAATTAATTCGAATAAAGTCGAATTAATTTCGAAAACATTTGTTTAGGAAACTGTCGAGCATAACGTGTCAAAATTGTGGATTTGTGTTGTAAATGTAAATATTCGATTTACTTGTTAATTTTGGCAAAGTTATATTATATACATCTCTATATAAGAGAGTAAATTTCATTTAATTTGCGTTTGGCGCCAATGAAGTTGGTGCTCTATCGCTATACAAAATTGAGACTGGACCTCTGCGTGAAATGAAGCGTTTGAATGCGGCAAGGAACACATCTGTACATAGATCTGAAACCAATTCGATGGGTCGTATTCTATAACTCTATTCAATGCTCAAGTCAGGATTGCACTGGCAACACAAGCACTGGAAATACGACACTGGCAGGGACTTGAGTATGATATCAAGTGCTTTAAACCATACTCAAATCCTAACTTGAGCATTGAGTAGAGTTCTAGAATACGACCCTAAGTGTAGCGCTTTTGTTGTAATACAAACGAATAGGCAAATATATGCTTTATGACTTTTAACTCCACGGCGGCGAATATATGTGATATAAAAGGGTCCAGCGTAATCAACAGAGGAGTGTACAAAAGTTTTAACTTGAAACACTCTTATTGAGGGAAGGTCACCCATTGGTGGGTGTACGTTACGCGGTTTGAGTTTGAAACATAAGTTACAACTATGTACTCTTTAACGAATTAAATTCCTATCGGAAAGAATCCAATATTTCTGACGAATTAAACCGAGTAATAAAGCGGGACCTGTATGTAAGTTGGATACGTGATAATCATCAACTAAGAGCGCAACTACGCGACTTTTATTGTTTGTTGTAAATGAGTGAGTCTACCACCTACTCTTAATTAATACATTTTATCGTCGAGAAAAGGATTGAGTTTTAAAATTACTTTATTTGGACAAAGTTTATTATTTTTAATAGTGTGAATTTTCTGAGAAAATGCGTTAGTTTGTAAAAAGCGTATTGCGTAATGTTCTGCCTGATGTAAATCGGTTACTGTGATAGGACCACGGGTGTTAAGTATCTTTGTAAAACGAAGTACATAGACAAGCGCGCGTAAAAATTTAATCCATGACGAACAGCGTTCAGGGAGATAGTGAATAGCGTGAATGTTTTCCATTGTGTTTTGCAAATGTGTGTAAGCAGCGATGTAGTTTTGGTTTTGTGTAATTCTGTATTATTATTGTGGATAATTTTATATTCTTTTACAAGCCAGGAGACGACGGGAGCGATTAACCATTGCGGACCATGAAACCAGAGATTATTGTTAATTAAATTTTTTGGCGTTACAGGACTTGAAACAATATGGGCGGGATATTCTATAACTCGAACGAAACCAATGAGAAGCGGGTAGGTATTCATTTATTTGAGCGATGCGGTTGGCAACAAAGGTATGAAACTTATGTGAGAGCGAATGTATCCAGGCTAGAGTTACTGTGGAATCAGAGAATGCGTACATTTTATGTATGTAGCAGTGTTTACTAAGGACGGTGCGTACCGAATCAATTAATTTTGCAAGTAAGACTGCAGCGCAAAGTTCCAAACGTGGGAGAGTTTTAATAGTTAGTAATTTTAGAGAATCAGCGTCGCGTTATCATTTGTATCAATTCGCACATAGATGGCAGCGCCGTAACATTTTTCACTGGCGTGTGCGAAGTCAATTAATAAGATTTAACTTTAACTCATACTCAAACAAAATAAAATATATAACCTACAAGTTAATATTCTAAGACACATTGTATCAAATAAAATCCGACTTCAAATGAAGGATAATGATATTGGTATTTTTAAACATTGTAGAATCTTACCTGTTTATACCCAATTCAAGTACATGTTTTTAAAATCTATGTTTTTTAACGATCTTAGATAAGTAATAAATCACCCCGTGTGTACGCGAGCGCTGCCTGAGGACCGGTTGCTAACGAGTCGCGCGCATAATGTGTACGGCGAAAGAACATCTACCTACCTTCTTCCCCGACTTATTAATAAGTTACCACTGAAACTACGAAATACCTTAACAACCATTAATATAAAACATAAACTTAAAGATTACTTTGTACAAAACTTAAAAAAATGTAATGAACATTTAATATAATAAGATGAATGTATTTACCCAATCCTATTAATTTTAGTAACATATATATTATAGATTATTTATACAAATTACTTAAATATTTACATTTAAATATAAGCTTCTGCTAGCATGTTCAAATTTGTATTGTGTAGATACAGGTCGCATTATGACAAACCTTAGTGGTTTAAAATGCGATTAGAAACATATTTGTGTATTTTGTCCTTTATACAATAAATAAATTAAAAAAAAATAAAAAAAGATCCTACAAGATGAACTTATTCCAATATGACGCGGTATTTTAATTTCAGATAAAAGCGTAAGTTCTTTATGAAAATGTTCCCATTTGGAAGTTATAAAATCAGGCACCTCATCGTCCCAGTCTACCTGTAATTTCCAGCATTCCTGGATGAGCAACTTCATATATGCAACGACTGGACTAATGAGACCTAGCGGATCGAATAAGCGTGCGGTGACAGAAAGAATCCAGCATTTCGTGCAAGTTTCGGGAAAATTTACATTTGTTTTAAATTGAGTCTTGTCATCTATAGGTTGCCATTGCATACCTACAATTTTGGTTTCTTTGGATCGACATCGAATTTAATAGCGAGGGGGCTTTTATGTGAAGAAGGAATGCGGGACATGAGTTCGCTGATATTTGAGATCCATTTCACTAAATTAAAACCTCCGGATTTGAACATAGCGATCATCTCTTTATAAGTACTTTCAGCGGCATCCAAACCGTCAATAGAGCTTACATAATCATCTATATATATATGGTTTTCGGCTTCATATGCAGCAAGCGGGTATAAGTTAAGACTATCGGAGGCGAGCTGACACACAACACGCATTGCGAGGTAAGGTGAGCTTGACACACCGAAACATACTCGATTGAATTGATAAATATCAATTGGCGAATTGGAGTCGAACCGAAACAAACGTTGGAATGAGTGGTGTACAGGTAAGAGCTTTACTTGAAAATACATCTCCTCGATATCTGCGGTTAGCGCGATTGAAAACATGCGGAGATTAAGAAGTAGTTCGAAAATACTACTTTGGAGAATTGGACCTACTTAACTGTCTCCGTGGCCGAACGGTTACCATACTGGACTGCCACGCAGAGGCCCCAGGTTCGATTCCCG